TGTGCTTAATAACACCTCTGCTCACACAGTGCTGTGGTTTAACATTATGAATTCCTTGGTATATCATGTGCCCCTGAATTACTCTATTCCCGACTCAAGAATTGTTTTCTTTTTTCCCTGTGCTAAGACATGGTATTCACAGGGCAGCATATCACCATAACTTCATCAAACCTCCTTTCTAACACTGTTCAATAACATGTATGGTGTATTTTCTCATATACATGCAATGTGTTTGAATTGTGAACAGAGCTTGATCATGAAAGTTCCGTAGATATCCTATCACTCATCAGATTTCTATCAGTTCATTGAATCTATAGAATCTTAATAAAACATTTGTAGATATTCCATGCTGTAAAGAGAAGAAAGAAAACACAATGTTTCGGCCGTGGCGACTTCTTCAGGTGTGAGGCGTGAGGTGTCAGGTGTGAGCTCACACCTGAAGAAGGCTTTACAGCAAAAACATTGTGTTTTCTTCCTTCTTTTCAGCTGGAATAAACCTTTACTTGTTCCTCTGCAGCTTATGCCTGCTGACACAGCTCCCTACTTGAACTATTTGTAGATATTCACTAGTGATGAGACGGGGTGCGGGCTAGTGTGAACATTGATGTGTTGGTAGAGATATTTTGTTACATCTTTAGTGTATCAGTTGATAGTAAATTAATATAATAGAATATCTATTAAACCAATCTCTGTACAACTTGAACTACTGACTACAGAATTGTCTATTTTGTTGCATTTAAACATGCCACAATAATCATATTTCATTTAAACGCTTTTCACAGGCTGCACATTGATTGTGTCAGTCCTGTTTGAAGGTATTCTTCTCACTGTTTTCATTAATAACAAGCACATTTTCACGTTTCCTTCCACCAGTACAGTATAGCGCAGCCATGAAGATATACAGAACCACTTCTAATCCTTCTGCATTGTGAGGACACCGTTGCTAAAATCACTGAACGCATGTTTTAGAAAGTATCTTGGTAATCTCGATATCTTGACTGTCAAAGCCACTGATACTTTGTGAGGTCTTGCAGGAAACTTCCAGAGCCCAGCTGTAATGAGGAATATTTTATTGGTCTGCTAATGCTCTTCCTGGGAACACTGCCATCTGCGTCGTCCTACAATCTGACAACGGAAGTGCAGGACTCACTGCTGAGGATGCAGGCACAGGACGTGGAGTTTTTAATTAAGAAACGTTTCAGAGGGAAGACCGCAATCCCTGTTCTGCTTCACCTCTGCTACTCTGACTGAAGCTGCTCCATGACCGTGTCTGAGAAATGCTATAAAGACGACAGTGAGCCCCTCTCTCCTCCCTGTGCTGCTTCTTCTGTACTGCAGCTCCTCCGATCTCCACAGAGCGGCTGTGCCGATTCTCTACAGGAGCTCCTGACTAACTTCTCAATGAACATCCCTGACCAGGTTTTCTTATCGATTGGCATTGCCCAGGAATGTGTACAGTTTTACAAGCAGAGCAAGTCCTGAGTCCTGCTGGACTTCAACCCTTTGCATGTATCATTTCCAAACCAGGCGAGCCAAGTACTGGGATCAGCACACAGGAAGTATTTCTATCTAAGGTTTCCCTTTTGTAATCCAATCATCTGCTATTAAAAGACTTCAGTGGAATAGTAATTCAGGACAGTTTAATTACTTGTTTTCAATGTAATCTCCCCAGCTGATATCGAATCCTATTGATATCACTTTCATTATCATGTATGGCCAAACCACAGAAGTGAAACTGAAATGTAATGTGTGTATTTTAACACATAGACACAGTCCTAACCCACTGAGCAATAGTTTGAATCTGGGATTTCTATACATTTACTGTAGGTCTACCATTTACAGAAAAGTCACACTCACTGCTTGATAACAATCTGTATGAGGTGACAGGCCTACTTAATGCCTTTACTATACCTTGTCCAAACAACTTCATTAAATAACCCATCTGTCAAGAGAGCTGCTATTTTGTACCTACAACGGATACTTGTTTAGGTAATGTCTGGGTGTTCAGGGTTTCAGACTCCCGAGATATGCTTCAGAGGGAGAAGAGCTGAGGCAGTTTCTCACATTCGATTCTCTACAGAGAGTCACGGCACTCTGACCCAACGGGTACGGCCATACCTGGAGATTCATTTAATCGGTTCTCGTTTCTATTATCTATATAGATGAATTATGTTGGCACGAGCAAAAACAGACTGTCTTACTGTAAGAGGGCCTGAAGCGAGAGCCGACTGCGTACTCCATTAAAACCAAGGCTCCCATCACACAGTACTGACTCAGTACACTTCTTTGACCCAGTCTTTTCACATACATGATATTGCAATGAGAGCTGGGTGAACCTTTTTTTAAAAAACCTTTCTAACTTTCAGTCATGCAGGGCCCATGGGCTTCCTGTAAGGCAGACCAGGAGTGACAGAAGGGGGGATGTTAGGAGGCTGCCCAGGCCTGTACACCCGTGTGAGAGGCCCAGAGAGGCGTGCGGAGAAGAGCGCTCACCGCGTCTTGAAAAGGTGCACAGTGTGGTTCTGTCCGGAGATGAACATCGCCAGCCGGACTCTCTCTGGAAACCGCTCCTGCTCGCCAGGCGTCAAGACATACAAGGCGCACCAATTAATACATCGCGTTTTCAAACGCCAAAATAAAAGTACATTTCCGAGGTAATGCTGCATTACTGAACGAGAGGCACAACGTCTTCTTCCTGTTTTTACCTCCGGCTCGGACCGGTAACTCTGCTCGGTCACAATTTCCGCCGTCTCCACGGACCCCCCGGCGCGCCGCCGCCTCGGCCACCGGCACCCGCTCGCTGCAACACGGAGGAAGGGGCGTCAGACCCCGGCGTGACAGCCCGGGAACCGGCAGGACATCCCCACGATACAACACTTACTGATCGGATTAGCACTGATCATTTCCCAAAGGAGATAAAGCGGAAATTCGCCTTGCGTTCAGTGCAGTGCGGTGATTAATGTACTGTACCGAGTACTAGCGCCGCTGGCACAGCAGTGTAGAGCAGTGGCTGAGATAGTTCAGTGGAATATCCGACTGCATGAATGTAAATCGCTTTAGACAAAAAGCATCAGATGCATAAATTAGAAACGTTACTATTCTTGCTCATTTGAAGTATTTTTTCCGTATTGTTCTAAAATCAATACAGTTTGCACAATTTCTTTCAGACTGTAAACAATTGCTTGTAAAACCAAAGCAATCCCGATTACAAACAAGATTAAAGAAATTGCATTTAAAATTGTTCACCGGTTTTATCCGTTAAACTACAACTCTCTAGATTCAAATATGAACAAGATGATTTACAGTATGTGTGTGCAAAAAGAACTCGCATTTTGTCACCTGTGTACAATACACACAGGTTTTGCTTTGGATAGACTTGCAAAACTCTGTCTTTAAGCATTACAATTTGAATGTTAGATTTAAGGAGTTTGATATGTTATATGTTGCAAAATGTAATACAGAAAACATGTATTTAAATATTAATCTGTCAGTTACAAAGTTTGCGCTACTCCCTCCTTTAATGCCTGTAAGCCGGAATGCAATATTATGGGAACTCCATTAAAAACCTGAAAAATGACAAAGCAAAAAACAAGAACAAAATTGATGTCTTGGAATTTTTTAACTTATTGTGGCGGCGTATTTATTTTGTGTGTTGTTTTTGTTCACTCATCTTTTTGGGATACTTTTTTTCCTCTCTTTTGTGTTACTGGATGTTAAAAGTTTTGGGAACAAAAAACAGTGTATTCAAGCCTACGCAACACTGTGAGAACAATTGTACTGTTTTTTTTTCTAGGTATCTGCTGTTTCTGTTTTTGTTGACCTCACGTTGTGCTAGACGTGCTCTAACAAAATGCGTGAGAAATGTTCCTGTTTGATTGGCACGTGGCGTGTGCCCGTATTCTATTATGGGAAATTCGCCATTCCGCGCGTGAACTGGGCTCACAGCGCGTGCCGCGCAACAGGGCATCCCGCAGCATCAGAGATGCTGTCAGCTCGCCCGGCTCCTCCATAAGGAACTATATAATCCTGCCTAAATAACAGGCAACCTTATTCTTATGAATATAACTTGCATTTGATTAAAATGTGCGATAGACTCATATGTATTGATTATCTTTCTAAGGTGTTTCACCTTAACATTCACAACTCTGTCACACGTATTTGCAAACAAGCTCTGAATATGCAGCCTGAAACAGACCACTACAGATTAACACCTTTTAGGCGAAACGATATTTGTTAAAATAAACGTTTGTCCGACCGAATAAAAGAGGTTGAATGTGAGACTACACACACATGTAGATCTAGCAAAACAAATCACCTTGCTACTCACCTGTACTGAGGACTGTGACAGCGAACAGCATCTCGGTTACCATCCTTGTGTTCATGGTGCTCAGATGTGCTGCCCGGGCGCTTGATTGCGATATTTTTATACATCGTGTCTGATTCTCAGGAAGCCTTAATCCCGCCCTCCGGGTGCAGTTCCTAGAACGAGCAAAACAGGTCAAGAGAGGACAAGTATGTTTGTTTCCTTAAGGGCACTTCTGGGTCGGAGTCTTGTAATTTGGAGACTGGGTTTTGGCAAACACTGAAGGTCAAAGTCAACCGCAAACCAGGAGTACACAAAATGCAAATCCGTTCATCAGTGTGGAAGCCGGTATTCCCACGCGTTTTAAGTATAAAGCGTGTGCTAGGTATAATGCCGTTTTGTGTTGTAAGCTAGATGTTATAAAAATGACAACTTATGACCGCAGGTGAAACACTCCATTGTGGTGTCGCTTGATGCCGCGGAATAGTTTGTGTCCGTTGTCCCGCCAACCCTAACCCACACAGGGAGACGTTCATTCAGGAGATGGGTTTTTTCAAACGGTTCCTTGTAAATTAATCTACATTGTTACATATTAGGTTTTCTTTTCTTAAACGTTGTGGTGGAGTTTTGCAATCTATCAAAATGCTGTTCATGATAAGCACTGGGCTTATTCTGTGTGCTTGAAATGTTCTGTTTGTTGTAGAGGCTCTATGAGCTGTTCTGAGTGTGGTGAACAATACAAATAGTTTTATTAGTAGCAGTAACAGTGGGAGGATTTTTTGGCGCTTAGAAATCCGCTTGTGGAGACCTACAAACACTTTACCTGTTCTCGCGTACACTCAGAAATGACTTCGCATCTCGTTCACGTAAACTCTAATGTTATAATGTTTCTTTATTAGCCCTATACAATTTCTTGCATTAGGAATTCGTCTTTTCGCATACCCCAGCTTTTCTCCAAGGAGAAACAGACACACAGACAGGGAGAGAAGCTTGGGGTCAGAGCGCAGGGTCTGCCATTGTAAGGCGCCCCTGGAGCAGCTGGGGTGAAGGGCCTGGCTCAGGGGCCCAACGGAGTAGGATTCCTCTGCCGGCCGTGGGATTTGAACCGGCAACCTTCCAGCCACAGGTCACAGCTCCGCTGTTTACAAGCCCAAAATAATGCTGTTGTTGACTTCTCTTTTGATGCCAATGGATGAGTGCTCTTCAGCTAGCTAGTTCTGTGTTTTCGAAGACGACAAACAGCTGACCGGCATCCACGTGCAGAGTTTTTTTTTTGCTAATATGAAAAGCATGAATGGATTTGTAGTTTTTCGCAAACCCGTTACTCATACATAGAGCTGTGGGTGTGTTCCTCCGGGAACTACAAGAAGCTACTTCCGCTCTTTCTGACCATCGCGAGGAGCCGTCGCCATGGTTACCGCAAGACGCAAAACGCTCAGAGAGGTCTTGGCGTCCGCAGCTGCGACTCAGCCGCGTTGGTCATTTAAGTAAAACATTTAGTCTCGCAAACGCAGCTGCCATCAACTGTGTTAGATTTTTTAAGGATACAAGGTGTTCTTTAATCAGAACGATATACTGTACAGAAATGCGATTTCCCGAATCGTACTGAAGCATCAAAAAGTTAGCAAATACCCAACTTTCGGAACAGAACTGACGTTACTGCCTTCAAGCGAAGTGAATTTTGCTCAGTATAACTCCGCAATTATTTTGCATAGTTAAAGGACAGAAAACGAGTATGTCCGGGGATCTGGACGAAGACAGCCTGCAGGAGCTGTACGCCTGGGTGGACAGGGCGCCCCTCTCCAGACCCAAGAGGAACATCACCCGCGACTTCAGCGACGGAGGTCAGCCCCGCATCACCGCGCCTGTCCCGGCTCACCCCGCTGTACTCCCGCAAGATTCCTTTTTTTTCTTTGTTTTGTTTTTATTACACGTCAGTATATTCAGTCAGAAAATGCATGATTTGACCGCTGTCCAGAACACATTGCCTCCCTGGGCAATTGAATTGAAATGACAAAGGTCTTGTCATGTGCTGATGTTACAGGAGACACCTGTAAACCACAGGCTCTGTAGCTCTCAGAAAACACCGGCCGCATACTTATTACCTTCAGTCAGTAATAACCTCATGTATCACTAATAAGACTTGTATTGTGTTTTGGTTTGAGTGTGTCTGCTGCAAAGGAGCAAGGAAAACTTAATCCCACACTTAGGAGAAGAAGGAAGATGAAACACTGTTCCTGCTGTTAAACCTGAACACCAGAAGGTTTAACAATTTAAACTTTGTATTTGTTATTCCTGCTTTTCAGCATACATAAGATAAGATAAGATCACTTTATTGGCCATATACAATCTCTTGAATTAGGAATTTTATCTTTTCACATACCCCAGCTTGCTCTCCATGAGACACACAGACAGGGAGAGAAGCTGGAGGTCAGAGCCGAGGTTCAGCCATTGGACAGCACCTCTGGAGCAGCTGGGGTGAAGGGCCTTGCTCAGGGGCCCAATGGAGTAGGATTCCTCTGCCAGCTGCAGGATTTGAACCCGCAACTTTCCAGCCACAGGTGCAGAGCCTGAGCCACAGAGCCACAGCAACAGCCCTGATTATGTTTTTGTCGTTGGCAGTGTAGCATGGTGGTTAACTCTCTATACTTGGTGGGTTGTGGGTTCGAGCCCCTTCTGCAGACACTGATTTTCATTACTCAAAACCAGGAAATATGTTCTGCCCCATGAGCCATCGTTTCACTGACAACCGCCAGGCTCCGTTTTGTTCTTATGGTCTCAGTAATGATGCAGGGTGGGTAATGCGTCATTACAGCTGTCATGCATGCCAGTTGTGAAGTGTATCAGCTTCATCTCTACACCCCTGAATATTTTCGGAGAGTCAGAGTAATTTGGGTGTGAACACAAATAAGCACAAGTCTGCAAACAAGAGGAAGCCATTTGACCCATCTAGCTCTGTTGTTAGTTTGGTAATTAGTAGCTAATTGATCTGGGAATCTCATCTGGGCATTTCTTGAAAGAAAGCAGGGTATCAGCTTTCTCAACATGGCTGGGGACCTTGTTTCACACACTGCAACCCTTTGTATAAAGAAATGCCTCCAATTCTCAGATTTAAAAGGACTTCTATGTAGTTTCCCCTGGTGTACCCTGGTTTGTGTTTCACTGTTACTTCTGAAGAAATCTCCTGGGTTGGTATTGTGAGCATAGCAGACACTACATGAAATTGTGAGAGGCTGGAAATAAAGTATTGAGTGATTATGCACAGGTACGAAATGCAATAATATTGATCAACAAAATACGCTCAGAGTATAGTTATTGGAACTCTGCTATGCCAACATTAAATCCTGTCCTGTACACAATACTTCAGTCCATTAAAAATTTTAACTTTTCAAATTAGTCATAGTAAGTAATTTAATAAAGTGATAATATATTATACGTAAGTTACAAAACCATAATGACCAAAATGGATACCGAAAATGTATAAAATAAAATAATACTATGAAAAAAAATAGAATTCTACCTTTCTGGCAGGATTCTAGGTATCCTAGCTATTCAGTAACCAATATGATGAAAGACTTAAAAAATTCATAATTAACTGAAAAAAGTTTAGGTTATTTATAAGAAGACCAATATTGTTAAGCAAGATAGCAGATTGTTCTGTGGTTTACAATATTATAGTGGTGTTGTTTACATCCAGACAGCCAGCTTCCCAATCTGCATGTCCCACTCCCAGCATGTCCTCCTCATCTCCTGGTCCCAGCTGCACGAGAAGGACACAGGATGTGCTGGGACATTTTAGAATGCCTTTTCTAACCAGTGGCTTTTAAACCTTGAAACCTTGAAAGCCACCTTGGAGTAAAGTCTGCTTGGAAGAGAGAAACAAAACCATTCTGCATACACTGTTCTGTAGAGGGTGTTTTCAGTATGCATTTTTTTAAACAAATTATTTCCAAAGCATAAACTGTTTTTTTAATGGATGGCATTGCATGATTGTGCTGCAATGTGTAAAAGTTTGCTTTTTACTGCAAAAGATCAAATCCAATGTCTACAACTTGTTTCCTCAATAATCAAAATAATGCTTCCCTTTCTTTTCTCATCCTAAAGTTAACTCATGGTCTGTTTAAAGAGTGCCTAAGCAGCATGAATGTGGGATACAATAATGTCATGTTTTTTTCTTTCTTCAGTCCTGACAGCAGAGATTGTTAAATTTCATTTTCCTAAGCTGGTGGAAATGCACAACTATGTCCCAGCCAGTTCAACCCAACAGAAAGTGAATAACTGGAGCCATCTGAATAGGTGAGCAATGCAGGTGATCTCAACACACCAAACACCATAGATAGACCATTGGACAGATTACAAAACAGCCCCTCTTTCTCATTTGGTCGTAGTAGTTTATCAGTCCTAGTATCTAATCCAACCATGTCTTGTATGTCACAGTAGTTTACTTCCTTTAACTTGACAAATGTTGATCTTCCAGTACTCGTACTCCCCTAGGTGGAGCTGTCAATGTCGTGACACTGTCCAACAAATTGATTTAATGTAATTTCCCTACAACATGACTCCCCCCCCCCCCAGAGCCATTCATCTCTACAGCCCTGTAGAGAATGGGAATTATAGTCATGCTTTGAGCAAATACTTGCAGACATTATTAAATCTGTATGGACAGGTAAATTAAGAGTGCTGGGCTATTAACAGATGACATTCTCAGAACAGAAATTGAATAGAAATCCTAACACCTCATACCACAAGTTGTGTGCCTTTTCACAGTAAATTACTGTTAAGCTGTTGTTGCCAAAATAATTTAGTAGTAGCATGTTATCAATCCTAACTTTTTTTAAAAAGTTTGAAATGTTAGGAATATCCTGAAATAAATGACTTACCAGACATTATGAGAAAACCCTGCAAAATGAAATCTAATGAGCAATGTGCTGCTTTTTAAACTGATAAACTCCCAGGTTGTATTCCTTGTTTCTGAGCACCAAGTACAGTAGTTCTTTTTTTTCAGCCATGCACAACTCTGCTTGGCTCCGAGTTCCCATCTGAATGGATTTTGCTGTCCTGCTCAGCAGTGGACTTTCTCCTGGCAGCCTGTCTTTACATTCACGGTCTTCCACTCAGATGGTGGTGTCAGGAGCCTTGCTCTCTCTGGGAATGCTTCTCCCTGTCACTGTTGGTGTGTGGTGGTGCAGAGCAGGTCCCCTCCCAGCACCGCCGTCTCAGGCTGCGGCCGCTGTGCTGCTCTCCCTGACTGTGCTTCTCCCCCAGGAAGGTGTTTAACCGGCTGAATTTCAGCGTGCCGGAGGAGCTGGTGCGCAAGGTTGCTCAGTGCACGCCTGGGATGGTGGAGCTGGTGTTGCACTCGCTGAGACAGAAGATAGAGGAGAAGCAGAAACAGGGAGCGAGCAAGCCTTCCCCGCAGGTAAGGGCCCGCCAGGGGTGTTGGGGACAGGAAGTGGACGGGTTGGCATGCGTGTTGGATTCAGGCCTGTTTCTGGATTCACATATAACCCACACAGCATAGCATAGCGAACGGCATGTTGAACAATGCTGATGTTTGCTCCTTAGAGCAGGTTTCCTCTAGAGCAGCTGTGCTTATTGGAACAAGTAGTCAGGCTACTGAAAGTTTATCAAACGGTTATTCTAGACCAGTGCCCATAATAAAAAATCTGAAAAACCCTTAGCAGGGGTCTGATACATTTGGATTTGTGGAATGTGCCGCCAGCAATCGGTTCTGAAACATTCAGGTGTTTTGCAGTAGATTTCTTTAGCCTCTATGGGAGATCATAAGCTCTAGTTCGGTGAAGGCCAGTTAGCCCACTCACAGGCTTGCATCAGCCACAGCAGGACTGGGGAGTCTGAAAGTCCATTTTGAAAAGTATGAGAGTATGAGAAAAGTCTTTTGAGTTTTCTTTTTTTTAAATCATAAGAATACTCATTTATTTTCGGAATAAATGCCTATACAGAACGTACAAAAACGCTCATCTGTCCCATTAGAACCTCAAAGAGTGTGAAATGAGAGGACATCATTCAGCTCCTCTTGCTAGCTTAGTTGCTGATAGCTAAGTGATCCAAGGATCTCATCCCGGTGTCAACGACCAATCATTTAATCCAGACGGTAAAGATGTTCTCATGTTCCAAAGCTGTTCTCAGCACTCTCACTAATTTCACTGCTTTTAGCATGTGCTGTGTGTGTACTGTTTTGTTTTAAAAAGGAAATGTTAATTGTATTTCTGTGAATTACTTGTGTAACAGTGCATTGAGTAATTAATTGAAGAATTTTCCAGTGCCTCATCGACATTCTCAACAGGATATATATATATATCAGGAAGGAAATTTGGGGCTGTCCATCCTCATTTATACATTTTGTCTTAGTGATCTTGTGCAAGCTGAAACCAGGAAGAGACACCAGCAGGAAAAAGCTAATTACTGTACCTCTCATTCACTCCTGCATTCAGACACCATAGTGATGACACATACAGATATAGGAATGATCTCATGGTTCTGTTGTGTTTTGAAACTGTTGATTGCTTTGGGTCCACTGTTTCTGACCTTCTTTGGAGTTTTAAAGCACGTGCTGAAAATTCATGCCTGTATCCACTGAGAAACAGGGTTATACTTGTTTAATCACTATACTGGGTCAAAGCTTTTAGCTTTGAGAGTGTTGGTTATCCCAAGAGAGTATAGGTTGCATTGCCTTGCCACATTTAAACAGACAAGCTATTGTACTAATGTTTTTGTAGAATTAGGTAAGAGCTACTACAATTGCTGAAATTGTCATTTATTAAAGTAGTTGTGATGGCACTATTCTGTATGTGATAACATTCTGAGGGCACTAGATGGGTCTAAGACTACTTAGTCTGAAATTCTCCCACTTTTCTTTATGTCCCCTCTCTTCCTCTATGTTCATGGGTTGTTAAATCCTCTGCACTCTCTGCTGCTGCACGCCTGCTGTGGAACTGCCTGTGGTGGTAATCTTGTAGCTAGAGTCTTAGAACTAGTCTTATAGGACACCTAATCTCTCTGATGTTGCACTGCATTGATGACTTGAGCAAGCAACCTGTTCAAGTAAGAATTCTGCTCCTTGAAGGATATACTGATTTTGGTTACAGTCTTTTAACTAGTTCTGTAAATTTAACAAAACGAAGTTTAATTGAATAATTACCAGTGTTAAAAAACTGTTGATTTGTTGATTTAATCATGGCTTATAAAACCTGTCTGGCTTGGGGTCTACAGGATCACGGTTCAAGACCCCTGGCCTAGGCATATCAGGACAGCACACAGTGTAGTCTCTGATCACCCTGTCGCACCTATTCTTCTGACCTCCTGTTTAGACTCTAGATTTACTTTTTACAGTTTATCATTTTAATTTCTGTTTCCATTACTTTGTACTGTACTTTTAGAGCAGTTACAGTTACATGATAGTTTTATATTAACAGATTTCTTTATCTCAGATCGTTATTATTGTTGGCTGTTAATTAACTACAGTGAGATCGCTGATTTGCTGAGCAGCTGATGGCGTGGGCATAGTGTTAAGGGAAATCTCAACAGGAAGCACAGGACCTTGAGATCTGTCAAATTCACAATACCACATGGAGAAACCTTATTTTGAAGTGGATGCAACAGAAGGATGCCCAAGACTGTCTCTGCGTTTTTAAATCCATCCTGTAAATACGTTCCTCTATATTTATTGCCGTTTGGTTGAAAATGTTCTAAGGTTCTGCTTGCCGGTCTCTCTATGAGACTGTCTTCTATGGCAGCATGTGTGTTGTTCAGCCATCTAGTTTGTGTGTGGCTGTTAGGTGGCCATGAGAGCTTCTCACTATTAGAGCATACAGTATTTTATGTCTTGACAGAAGTCGGCTATCTTTTTTATCCTTCAATTCAGATTCTTTCCGATGGTGTGACTGGAAAGGTTTTGTCAAAGGACCAGATACTGTGTTAATCTGTCATGTTGTCTCTTAATGGCCCAAAGGTGCGTGTCTTGAATGGTGTCTTGAATGGTGACTGTTTTGATTCCTGCTATTCCTGTTCAGCAGGAGAGTCTTTCCTTGTTTGCTTACTGCTGGCATATTCTTATCAGCTTTCTTTTCATATTGGTCCTTTCAGTCTCACTTCCAAAGTAAAGGAAACAATATACAGTGTACAGGATTAAAGTGTTTTGTGGTCTACGTTTCTGTGGTTTTTGTGTGGTTTAAAGAATGTTAGGATTTTAAAAAATGACTCTCTTACAATCATGTATCTTGAAGCACTTCACACTGAACACCATGTGTTTTGTAAAGTAGTGGTTTCTTCAGAAACTGAAAATATAGTTCCTTGAACCTTTCACAGTTACTTTACTTCTAGTCTTTTTCTAGTGTTTTTGTTTTACTTTTGATGTCTATTTTAACTCATGAAACTGATTTTTTTTATAAATAGTTGTGTCGGTGGAAAATGTGAAGCAAGGGAAAAAAGGAAAAAAGGTTAAACAATGGATACAGAAAAGAAACCTACTGTAAACTGCCTTGTTAATGGCCTTTACTGGGGTGAAGATTATGGGGTCCCATAATCCCTACTGACCTCCCACTGAATGTATTGGACTACAGTTCATGTTCAGGGTCTGTTGCAGGAGTCTTTGTACATACAGTTAGGAGCAGACAGCTATCTCCTTTGTAAAGGGGGTCAATTGGCACTGAGCCTGTTGCACAAATCACTTAAACACTTAGACAGAGCAGAATTTTCCAGGTGCAGGAGGCCCAGCTATTTGACATAGGGGAATCCACTGCTGTGGCTTTGGAGATGCAGCACCCTGTAGGCGGCTGCATTCAAATCCCTTGCACCAACATCCTCTCATTTTATTATCCCTAATTGAATATCAATATTAAATAGTCTCCCCTGAATGCAGAGGCGCTGTGGCTGGGGCGTCTCTCACTATGTATCTGGTGCCTCTGTGTTGCAGGAGCCACAGTATTACAGTATGGAGAGCAGCACAGGTGAGCTGGAGGGTGAGGACTGGAGCTGTGCTGCCGATGTGTTCACCCGATCCAAGTAATTATATCACAGACCCCTTCTCCCTCCCCTCTGTGTCCAGCTGGCCAGCTCTCCCCTCACAGCCCCCGGCTCAAGCTCAGTGGAGACGGCTCTCCAGCACAGCAGAGGTACAGCATCCATGTTTCTCAGCTATTATATTAACATTTCACAGGGCTTTTATTATTATCACATGTGCTTTAACATCTACAACATTACCCAAACACAGGTCTTGAGAGCTGTGAAGCAGCAGCCCTAAGCACTAACCACCACAGCACTGGGCCACCCTCAGATTATAGAACTCCTCCGTGCAGTGGGAGAATCTCACAGTGGGGGAATCCTGGGGGATTGAAACAGGACGCAATTGAGCACAGGCTGCTGTGGTCTTGAATTAAACTTGCTGAAGCTGCTCAGGAAAGTGGTGCAGTGCACACACTGTTCTCCACTGCCGGTCTGCTCTGGAAAGTGCGTCTCCAGTTCAGGCACTGTGGCTGTTTCTGATTCACCTATTTATTTTGTAAACTGCAGCTTTAGCTCAACAGAACAACTGAGTTAGGAGCGAGTTAGGAGGGACCGTCACACTGAAAAACGAATATGCTATCTTACCTGTGCTAAGTGAACAATATGATTGCCTGTTAAATTGCCCAACCTTCTAGTTAGAAGAGAGTAATATCCTGTATTTGCAAAGTCCAAGACTTTTGGAGGCCAGTATAACAGCTTGGACAGGCTGGACTAGGGATAGGAATGATTGACATTTGTTAAATCACAATATGGGGCCTTAGCCACTGACTCAGCACAAGAGATCCGCGAGAGTCACAAGATCTGCTGGAGACTGCCTCTGAAGGCCCCCTCTCGTGTTGTTCTGCCCCTGCCGGTGGCGCTGCAGAGCTGGAAGAGTGCCTGCAGGGTGTGCACAGCCTGCTGCGGGCCCGGACCCGGCCACACGCCTGCTGCTGGAGGAGAGGGAGCAGGCGCTGCTGTCTGCGCAGGAGACCATCCAGGTGAGGGCCGAGACCGAGACCGAGCAGAGAGCTGTGAAGACATGCTCTCCCCGCAAACACTTCTCCGAAACACACACACACTCGTGGACAATTCCTCTCTTGTGAAGCTTGGTCCTCAGACGCACTGCTCTCTAGTGACCTGTACACATCAGGTTTCACCATTACAGATTAACTAAATGTAGTTCATCTGTATTTTGTATTTTCCAACACGACCACCCAGATAAGTTCTGAGTGACCCTATTTGTACTGTCTATCTGAGAAAACCTCCGCAGTGTTTGTTAAGTGTTTCCATATCTTATCTGCACGAGACCTGAATGATCTGCTTGGTCAATGTTTTCATGTTAGGAGGGTATGGGGGCTAGCCTGCTAGACGTGCACCTTCTGTAGTTACAGATAGTAGCTGTTCCCAAAGACAGCAGAATACCATCATCCTCGCTGGGGTGTGCTATAGGCATCAAGGGCTATACGGATATCATTCAAACAGTCTGCTTTGCATGAGAAAAAAATCATCTAGAAAATTAAAAAAGGATTTTGTGATGATGGACACCTCTCCTTTTAAATTATGTAAATTACACATTGATCCTATTATTTCTTTTTTAATCTCAGTATGATTATTAGTGGAAAAGCAGGGTAATATAAGAAAAAGTAGTATTTGCATAGTCCTAATTTTCATAATGCTGCATTGTTGTCTCTTTTTCCTCTTCATTTTCCCCAGTGGTTTGATATGTGAATTCACATGACAGCAGACATCACAGTAGGCCACCTCTCTTTGCTCGGCTTACCTCTGAAGATTTTCACATAAAGGACTGGCATCTGAGCTAGCTGGAATAATGACATACCTCTCGTATAAAGATGCTGTTTGGAATCTGAAGTTGGCTTCTAAAAGACACTATCAGATGAGGCATTTTATCTTTAGCATCGGAATGTACAGGTATTCGTCAACTAGATGTGCTCTAGGCAAGGTGACACGGTGTTAGTCGGACACAGATTTTTTGTTAGTAATAATGTGAATAGGGAAAAATGCATTAAAGCCCCAACTCAAAATTGGCACATTTATAGTTTTTGCCTGTACTCGAAATAATCCATCCATCCATTTTTTTACTGCTCTATCCAGTACAGGGCACAGGGGAAGCCGGAGTCTATCCCAAGTACAAGGCAGGATACACCATGGATGGGACACCAGTCTGCCACAGGGCAGACACACACACAAACACAGACACGCACACATGCACAACAGGGCTAGTTTTTTTACAGAAGTCAATTAACCTGCCAATATGTTTTAGGACTGTGGGAGGAAACCGGAGCACCAGGGGAAACTTACACAAACACAAGGAGAACATACAAACTCCACACAGACAGCACCCCAGGGCCTAAGGATTACCTCTGCGTGCCATGCCACCTACCTGATATAGTGACATATCTGTAGTCGAAGAAGCGTGGGTAAACAAGTTGTGAAAGAAAATGGGTAATACAACTGGAAGAGAAAATGGGCAGGTGCAGACATGTTTCACCAATACATGTTGTTTCAAACCACATTAATGCTTTTGAAAATACAAATCTTAACTTTTGTTGAAGCTGGTAGCACGGGTGGTATGGTGTTCCCTCATTGCTCATAGTTCATAGTTGCTCTTTCTGATCTCATACCACTTGATCATTTGTGCTGATCCCTTTTCCATGCCTTTTCCTGTCTGGACAACACCATGAGTGGAAAAAGAAAATTCCTTAGGCCCTGCCCATTATTCCGGGAGTAGCCTTATTTCTAAAAAAGTGTTAATCCAAGTTTGTGCAGGTCAAAAATTATGTTAGCAGAGGAATACTGCTCCACTGCTCTGAGATGTTTCCTTATGGGTCTCAAGTTATTAGACATTATTGTTTGAGAGGCTCACTCTGTTCCTTATGCTAAGATGGGAGACAGCAGTACTGAGTTTCCCCTCCCAGTAGGACTGGAAGCTGTTCTGATCCTGGCGAAGATCTTTCCTGGGGGGGGGGTCTCTCTCACACCCCACCCTCTCCTGGTGCGTCTGCAGCTCTGGGCTCCAGGAGGGGGTTGTCTGAGGAGATGGTGAGAGGGTCCCTAGGGGGAGGGAGGTGAGTCAGGGGAGGAAATGGGATTTTCTGTTTTCTGTTGCTCTTCTGTACTCTTAAAAAAATATCCCATGAAGAATAAGATAAAACGTCCGTGTAAACACTCTTCATGTGAGCCAGTTGTATAATTTGGACATCTGAATTATTTATTATATTAATATATACATAATGTATACTGTATTGTGTATTATACATAATATCCTGTATATTATGTACACACTGTATTAAATATATATATAATAGATTTCTTTCTAATCACACGTTTTCATTTCTTACTTGTTAATGGGCTCATATTGTGTTATATGAATCGTGTGATCTGTTATGCCTTTACGTGCCCGCAAAGCAAATTTCCCATCTGGAAATAAAAGGAAGTAATTAAAGTAAATAAAACTAAAGTAAATAAAATAAAAAATGAATATAAAAACATTGTGTAGAAGAATAGAAGAATATGAACTGCTCCTATAGGATTTACTGTATAAGGGCTTTGTGTCAAATGGTACTGTAGGTTTCCACATATGTAGCCTTTTCACATCTTACCAGGACTGTCATTCCAGTACCACCTTCTTAAATATCTTACCACAGTTGTTTGCTGCGCAGATGTACAGGTATATTCAAATTTATATTCTTGGCCATTGCTCAGAAAAACTACCATGTTACCATGTGTACAAAACAGCTTCCTGATAACAAGTTCCCAAGAACTCTGTTCAAGCAAAGTTAATATATTTTCCTCACCTGGCAAACCATAAAACCCCAAACCTAATTTTGTGATGTTTAACAAATGAGCAACATTTAGTGGAAGCACTTCAGGAAGTATCTGCCAAGACAGGTGTTTACATTCCATATTAGAATTCTGGTTTATTGTGCTATGAATTGTAAAAGGTGAATAATTAAAAACGTTAGGGTAGTATTGAGTTAAAGAACAATTACTGACTCACTTTATTATCCCAGTTGGTAAATATGTTTTTCAGGAAGAGAAAGTCCATAATGCAATGTGTAGTGCATTTAACAGAACACGGACCCAGTAACATACCGAATAAACGTGTTTTAGATGAGAAAAGCAGCTTAGAAGCTTAAATAATCTTCACGTTCTTTATTTTTCACCTTTCACAATTTGCATTACAGCAAACAACTAGAAGCAAAGACCATTTTTTCAGGTATATACAGTATGGTAATATTTAGATATGGCTTAATACAGTATGTGGTATGAAACTACACTTTAAAATATATTGAAATCCATTTTATATTTGAGATGTATATGAAATGTTCAGAATAATCTGAACAGACAATACATTTAAGATATTGTGCCAGACAGTATTAAATATTGCAGTGTAAATATAAGTATACATTTGGGATGTGTCTCTTCATATTTGTCTTTTGTTGTTGCTGCTGCTGGTGTGACAACAGTGGGCTTTCCTTCCTCTTCATATTAATAATGAAATTCATTTATGGAGAGCTTTTCAGCCACAAGTATCTCAAATATCCATTTGACATTTGTATCTCATTTGTCCATTTTACACATAAGAGTAAATGAGCATACCCTCTTCATCTTCCACTGGAGTATAGTTCCCCCATAAGTGACCTGCAGTAGGCCTTCTGCAGAATGGAATTTGTCCCTGGACACTGGGATTCATTAATTCTCACAAACATCTTTCATGACTGAGCAGTCAGGGCGTCACTTGAGTGCCTCATCTGGAGAACGATACTCTCTAAAGCACACTTTCTGTAGTCACCATGCTGGAGCAATTTCTCTGGAGAAATTCTTGTCCAGGGAGAAAAGCGCCACCTACTGGACCACCAACAACATTACAACAGCAAAATGGTTATCCTTAGAAGTTTCCCATGGCTGTACTGTACACTGCTTACTAGGCCCAGCCTGCTTAGATTCTGAGAGTGTAGCCATATTTCTTTGATATACTGATGTCAAAATGCTAGTTCCTCCACACCCAACTTGAGTTTCAGTGTCAGTGAGAGCTTTGTCTGTTTGTCCAGTAGGTGGTAATGCTGCTGTGTGCTTTGAGAAGCTCAGAGTACATGAAAAAAGAAGGATCTAGCACACTCTGAAGCAAAGTTTGCACAGTCTTCACTTATTCTGTGCTGGTATGAAGACCATTTTTGTAAAGTCATGTTCATCAGTAACTGTCATTTCCACATTGAGGCTACGTACATAGGGTGTTCAAATACATTCAATACATTCAAATGTTCAAGCCTGATTAGCTAGTTTGAACTATCTGAGTGCAAAACCATTTCTTCTTCCCTTGTTTCTGGTGCTTTAGTAAATTTATTTTCCTTAATTCTTCCTACTCCATGTGGAAAGAAACATCTCCTTAACATTTTCCACATGTGCAGAGTCCAGCTGGCAGGTTGCTCTGATCATGTCCTGAGTCGCCTCCAGAACCCTTTGCATCTGGAGTGTGATTAAGATAAGATATGATCACTTCATTGGCCACATACAATTTCTTGCATTAAGAATTTGTCTTTTCACATACCCCAGCTTGCTCTCCATGAGACACGCAGACAGGGAGGGAAGCTGGGGGTCAGAGCGCAGGATCAGCCATTTATACAGCACCCCTGGAGCAGCTGGGGTGAAGGGCCCTGCTCAGGGGCCCAATGGAGTAGGATTCCTCTGCCGGCTGCGGGATACGAACCAGCAACCTGCCAGCCACAGGGGCAGAGCCTGAGCCGCAGAGCCACCACTCCGCCCACCTGCCCACAGGATTACAGGAGAGCTGCCAGTTCTTACCTTCCCAGGCTGTTCCATCTCACTGAAGAGAGCTGCTTATGGCCTATAACTCTGTCTTCTGTAGACCTGTCTCCGGGACAGTGTGGAACACCACCTTTATGTCAGTCTCTCTTTCCCTATGTCTCACTCTCTGTCTCTGTCTCCCAGCTCCTGCAGGCCAAGGTCCATCGCCTCCATCACCTGTTGCACCTGAAAGACATCCGAATAGATGAACTGTCAAGGCGTCTCCAGCACCCCCAGAAGACACAGTAGCCACCCGAGTTCACGCACAGTCCAGAGCGCAGGCAGTAATTAAACAGGAATTATTATATCACTTCAGACTTTAACTCACATTCCTCAAGTCCATGTAAAATATTTGTTTTTATTGGATTAAATGTCCAGCATACTTTTATTCTCTCTGGTCAAGACAGCTTTGTCTAAAAGTACATCACATTACTTCAGTCTTTGTCACTCTTTTCAGTGTGTCTTTCAACATTAAGTGAACCTATGTTGGCAGAGAGGCGCTTCAATATTTACAGAGGTGGAGCGGTGGCTCTGTGGCTCAGGAGCTGCACCTGTGACTGGAAGGTTGCCGGTTCAAATCCCGCGGCCGGCAGAGGAATCCTACTCCATTGGGCCCCTGAGCTAGGCCCTTAACCCCAACTGCTCCAGGGGCTCCTGCTCCAAATGGGAAATTTGGCCAGGACGCCAGGGTTACACCCCTATTCTTTTCGAGAAACACCCTGGGATTTTAATGACCACAGAGAGTCAGGACCTTAGTTTTACATCTCATCCATGTCCCTGTCACTATACTGGGGCATTAGGACCCACATGGACCACAGGGTGAGCACACCCTGCTGGCCCCACTAACAAGGTTGCCTCTTCCAGCAGCAACCTTAGTTTTTCCCAGGAGTCTCCCATCCAGGTACTGACCAGGCTCACACCTGCTGAGCTTCAGTGGGCTGCCAGTCGTGAGTTGCAGGGTGATATGGCTTCTGGCCTTGTGGAAGCAGATCCTAGTCTATTGATATTCCCAGACTTCAGAGCCAAGGTAACTCCAGGTTAGTTTCAGCAGTGTGACCGATCCTGAAACTCCTGACTCTTGTTCGACAAGTATGAATGGGACAACCTGCCCGGATGACACCAGCGTGTGTGTTAACCTTCATATCGACTGCAGGGAGTGTTCACTCTTCTCCATAGCTCAGGATTGTCCGGAATGTAGCTCATAGGGACAGCTGGCACCACATGAAAGATTTCGTCTAATTTGTGTTTCATTTGAAGGGACCTTTTGCTTTTGCTTTCGTTTCCGCGGAGTCCCGCTCGGCCTGTGTGCCAGTCAGCTGCAGCAGCCTGGACACGCGAGAATCCGCGGCAGCCCGGTGGGCATGGGATGTCGGAGCCAGTTCCGCAAGATGCTTGTTCAGTATGGTAGTCTGTTTTTAATGCACAGCAGAATCGTCTTTTTTAAGTTTAGGGAAATAAACGAAGCATCAGTTCCCCCTACGGTGTTTACACTTTAATACAGAGTGCAGAATACTAATACAGGCGATTCCCGTTGTACTGTATGTCGAGGTTGTAGCGATCAAAAAGTCGGGACTTAATGGCAAAACGCAGTATGAAAGGAGATCTGTCAATCTGGATGGTTCGGGGCCGTTAGAGAGTAAACTGCCCATGAGCTTTAAAGAGGCTGGGAGGCTTTTCCTATTATAATTAAGGAAATGCAGTCGGGGTAGAGACTGTAGTTCGATTGTGTGTGTGTTTTATTTCTAGTTAAATAAAAGTGTCCTATTATAAGACCAGGTAACGTTCCTAAATAATGCAAATCGTAGATAAACGAAAGCGGAATTTATACCCATAAGGAACAATGTAATTAGCGTGAGACATGTGTATATATGTTAATATACGTACTGTATAAATAGCGTTACCGACACTTCAAGTTGTGATTTTATCGAAACCATCAAAGGTGTACACGCTGCTTCAGGGCAGATTTCTTCTTCCTCCGCACTGTGCGTGCTCAAGTGAGCGATCACACCGTGATCCATTGCCCGGATCAGCGACGTATTGTGGGACTCGGCTTTAATATCGGGGCACGACGATTCAGAATAAAAAATCAAGTGTAACAGCATTATCTACAAGAGGAACTGATTTTATTGTTAGAGTTTGCTCTTCACAATGTTTTTTCCCCGAAAGAAATAACAAATCAAAGCCTAGCTAGCTTTCGATGCCTTGAAAAACGACTTTAAGTGCGGGGGTTTTAACGTCGAAATAAGTGCGAAACGACCTATAGCAGGGTGACTTATAACGGGGACAGTCTGTATAATAATTTCAGAATTGTACTTCTGAAGAGCTTTGGCAGACAAGCACATCCACAACCACAACCTCTGTTTCCAAAACAGACATCAGAATAATAAACTGTATCGACTGGAAACCAAAGACATGAGAAGTACTGGCATCGAAAGGAAAGAAAGACAGTACTGTGCATTGTCTTTCTTTCCTGGTCACTACAATGACAAGCAGATGTTATGAAACAGTCCAGCTGGTTCTGCTCTCGTGTGCTTGTTGAAAGTATACTGCACTGTGTATTCTTGTACTCTGATTATATATCCAAGAATACCATTATATAACCAGTTCTGCAAAGGAACTGTCATGAATAGGTTTATCCCATGCAGAAAAGAGAAGAGAGAGGCTGTGGAGCCTTCTTCAGGCGCAGACTCTTCTCCTTTTCAGCGGGAATAAACCTTTTACTTGTTCCTTTGCAGACTACACATGCTGACGCTGCTGCCCACCTAAACCACTATAAATAACCAGTTCTTATGCAATTGATCTGTTTTTCTTTTGTTAAGATTACCTTGCACATTTCTGTGTTTTAACATGTTTCTTTATTATAACACCAAGCACACTACAAGTTCCCAAAATAGTATGGTAATGTATAATGGCAGAGTGGTATTGCGCTGATGCTGTAGCTACGATGAGGCTATAACATTAAACCATTAGGTTTACTTATTTTAGGGCATCTAGTTTTATCAGATTTTTTCATATTCCCAAACAATTACATTGATAATACATTAAAATACTCTTTTATCTTCTAAGAAGAATCCCTTCTGCCTGACTGATGTTTTGTGCTCTGTGGCAGTGTACAGATGGCCTGCCCCTGTGCTCTGCCTCAGAGGCTCAGACAGTCCTCTCCCGACACGCAGAGCTGCACTGCGCCACAATTCGCCAACCCCTCCTGAAACATGCTAAAGCGCCTAACACTCCTATTACTGTCTGCCTGGCTGTCGTTTAGAGGCATACTGTGCTAATTTTGCCGTGCAAAGGGAGACATCCTGGTGTGCTACCCGAGCCCCTGCCACGCTGCCAAAGCAGATACACTGGCTTCTACACGACTCCCAGATCGATCAGTCACTAAATACCATACCGGCTTGGTGGGCCAATGGGCCTCTCCTGTTTGTTACGTTTCTCATGTTCCTATCAACTTGGAAGTCTTTTAGATTGGAAAATAAAACAACTCATTAATTGTTGAATCTCAGAAATCATGCCATCTTAAAATCTTTGTATTAGTTAAGATCACTTTATTGGCCACCTACAGTTTCTTGTATTAAGAATTTGTCTTTTCACATACCCCAGCTTGCTGTCCATGAGACACACAGACAGGGAGAGAAGCCTGGGGTCAGAGCACAGGATCAGCCATTTATACAGCACCCCTGGAGCAGTTGGGGTGAAGGGCCTTGCTCAGGGGCCCAAAAGAGTAGGATTCCTCTGCCGGCCGCGGGATACGAACCGGCAACCTGCCAGCCACAGAGCCTGAGCCTCAGAGCCACCATACCGCCAATGTACAGTATGTAATACTGTATAGAAACCAGCGCCATTCTACAGGTGTGAAGCTGGGGTCCTGACTTGCATTTGGAGATTCTTTGCTTCCATCCCTTGCGGCTGCTTTGGGATTAAAGGCTTCCAGGGAAATCGGAGGGGGGGAGTGGCCGTCCCAGAGCAGGGGCTGACTCATGCTTTTCCTGCTCGCAGCTTCTTGCTTCTGCAGCAAGTCTGGGCACAAAACAGCAGGCATTCAGGAGCAGAACTGGCTGATCTGTGGAGTAGTGTATACTGTATGATTAAGAGCATTGAATCTGAAATACCTGGGGTTTGTGGGTGTATCTCTTTTTTAAAAAACTTAATTTTTAAAGGATTTCAGTATAAAAAGAGGTCAATAGACGCCGATAATGGCAAGATAGTGGAGGTAGCTGCACCCCCATCTGCTCCAGAGAGGTGCCCTGTCCTGCCTGGCACAAGGCTTGCTGGAACCACGGTGTGCAGCAGACACCATTGTTGCAAAGAGCAGGGGAGCTGATTCTGGATGAAAGCCCACTTCTAGAAGACCTGATTCACTGCTGCAGCTATTAATTTTCATCAACGACTGTTACCTGGCAATGCACTAAATAACTGTCTTTCTCCTGTGGATGTTTCGGATGGGACATCCAGAGATGTGTCTGGGTCAGGTTTGGTCCTGGGCCTCGTGGTACTTTCTGTAAAGAAGTAAAAGCTATTGTTCTTTATACATGTCTTTTTTATTTGTGTCCTCATGTGATTCTGTGTGCTTTAAATAATTCAACTTACCAATTCTTTTGAGTACTCCGAAACCTTAATAAGGCCCCTATTGTCATGGATGTCGGGAGGGACGAACCGTGGAGAGGCAGGAGAGCGGTAAAAGACCCTGTGCGTGGTGGCGGATCGGGGGACTAGCCCGGGCTCAGCAGTTCAGGAGTCATATAGAAACCAATGTCCTCAGGCAGCAGATGTGGGGCGACCTGGTGCTAGGGGGGTCTCAGGACATACAAACAGCAATGCTGAGCGAAGCAGAACCAGTGACCTGGAAATATATAGCCCCAGAGAGAGAGACACCGGAGTGACAGCGAAGCACAGGAAACTAGGGACAGGATAGAGTAGGAGCACCCTCTGGCTGCAGAGGGCATGACAGTACCCCCCCCTTCATGTGCAGCTCCCGACACCCATACAAATAAGTGAGTTGCACAGCACTGGGGGGAGGAAAAACCTCATTTAACTGAAAGGAAACCTCCGGGAGTCCACGGCTGAGAGCTGCCCCCTCTTCCAGGGTATAAACCTTTATTGGGTAGAGGAAGGGGGGTCAGGTAGAGCTCTGGAGACTTAACACAAAAAAAAGACAAGTACACAAGCACAAACAAAGACAGAAATAAGCCTGGGAGACCAGGGTAACAAACCACAATAAACAGATAGGAACCAAGAGTTTCAAGACACACGGGACAGGGGGACCATAGAGAAGGGGAAACCAAGAAGTGAAAAAATCAAAACACCAAGCAAAAAACACAAATAAAAACAAAAACCCGGGAAAAATACAGCAGACTGGGCAATAGGCACGTGCACATTCTATCACGGAGTGGACAACCCGAGGAGAGCCAGGCACTAGACCTGCTCACAGGCATGGATGTCAGGAAGGTGATATCCAGCAATTAGAAAGGGAGAGGGAAAAAGGCTCACCACCCTATCGCTGATATAGGAGTGGACAACCTGAGGAAACCCAGGTACAAGACCGGCTCACAGGCACGGATGACAGGAGTGATATCCAGCAATGAGGATGGGAGGGCCAGCTCAACATTCAATCACGGATGCCGGAAAGACAACCCGAGGAAAGCCAGGCCGCAGCCCGCTCACAGGCACAGGAGTCAGAAAAAGCATCCCGCGATATGAATAGGAGAGCTGAGAGGAAAAAAAACTGCGGAAAAAACAGAAAGCGCCGCTCACGGGGTCAGAAGGAGGCTCAGTGTTCTGTCACGGATGTCGGGAGGGACGAACCGTGGAGAGGCAGGAGAGCGGAAAAAGACCCTGTGCGTAGCGGCGGATCAGGGGACTAGCCCGGGCTCAGCAGTTCAGGAGTCGTATAGAAACCAATGTCCTCAGGCAGCAGATGTGGGGCGACCTGGTGCTAGGGGGCTCTCAGGACATCCGAACGTCAATGCTGAGCGAAGGAGAACCAGTGACCTGGAAATATATAACCCCAGAGAGAGAGACACCGGAGTGACAGCGAAGCACAGGAAACTAGGGACAGGACAGAGTAGGAGCACCCTCTGGCTGCAGAGGGCGTGACACCTATGAAAACTTCCTTGTTAAAAACTAAAAACATTAACTTTCTTTAAAGCTGCATGAATATGACAATTCTTTAAAATGATGTTCTTTCCTCTTTGAACTTTCCAGTAAAGTAATATCCTTTTTTGTAACGAGGTGACCACAACCGAACACGATATTTTTCATAGGCTTTACTAGTGCTGCTTGTTGCTAGACCTACTGTATAAAGGGGCACTGGTCTCTCATCTACCTTCAGTAAATACTGGAAGAGGTCTGTAACCTCTTTTTGCGCACTCCCACATGGCAAGCAGACAAACAGAGAAGGTGATTAAGCAGAATACATAGAAAACCTCAACGTAAACAGTGTGTCAATGTGAGAAGAAAACATAATCTTGTTTCCCCCTCCTTTAAATAGCTTTGGACGGTTTCATTTGAAAAAGTGAAAAAGTAAGGTAACTTGTTTTACATGGCTCTTGGCTGAAATCCCTTACTCTGTTTGCTGATCCCTGATTTGAACTCAAGCAGGTTTTCCATTAATTAAATGTTTCAGTCAGATATGAAGTACCTGCAAGAAAGAAGTCAGAGCAGGACTGGTTTTGTAGAGAAGGGGTTTTAACAAAAGTTAATCTCTCTATTGCACCAATTCTACATACAAAGACTGATTGTTCATGACATGTCCGTCTGTTTATTATTAACTAATTTGTCTGATGCTTTAATCCAAAGCCTCTTACATATGTGGCCCCATTTATAAAGCTGAGTGTTTTACTGTAGTAACCTGAGTGAAGTACCTCACTAAACAGTATGACAGCAGTTACCCACTTACTTCAGATCCGAACTCCAACCTTCCAGTCACAATGCCAACCTTAACCTTAACGGGAGCCGACTGCCAATTGTCTCTGTGCTCAAAACAATTCACGTCTTCAATCAATTCATGACGGGAATATGAAACCGAGTCTGAACGATGCTAGCTGGAATTCACAGCGAAAACCGAATGCACTGGAGAGAGAGACTGGTCAGAACCCAAGCGCGAGGGCCTGGGGACACCGAGCCGCCTGAAAGACCCGCATGGGAGGGTCACCAGCTCTCCAGACAGACGGAGGGAAAGTGAAGGATTAAAGAGAATAACTAAAGACGGGCCAGCGGAGGTTAGACAGCCGCGGCTGGACAGCAGGGCAATAGGCAACCTGACCCTGCGTGACTGGCTCCCTTGTCAAGCTCCTGAGGAAGAGGAGGGCCCCTCAGGTCTGAAGGCTGGCAGCAGGGAGCGGTGAGGTCCGACCTCAGAGGCCGGGCAGCAAACTCCTCTTGGGGTGGTCTGTGAGGAGGGAACCAGAACTGGTGCCCCGGGCCAGACCTGAGGGACACATCTGGTCCTCTCTGGGCTCCCGGAACCCCCCAGACAACACAGTCCCAGTCAGAGCTCCAGACAACAAGGAGGGCTCCACTGGGACCCTAGTAGGTGATGCAGGAAAGAA